TATACATACTCGTAGCTTCGCGCTGTCTGTAACCCGAGATGTTCTAAACTATACGATAGATTTTAAAGCGTTTTTCATCAATATCTATAGTAAATAAGAAGGTTCGTATGTATAATACTGGATTACGCAAGCGGTGATGTAAATAAAGACATTTTATAAAATACTATACTATATATATAAAATACTAATACATTAGACTAAAGTAACTAAATATCGAGTTCTTGGTTCACGAACTAGCGGTGTCCGCGAAGCCCTATACTTCACAAATCGACGCTAATGGACTGGCTTCCTGTGGCCAACCGCGCCTAGTATTTCACAGGCACGCCCGTATACACACAATTATCCTTATTACTAAGCAAATACGATTCAAATTCTTACAACTAAGCAAATAAGGGACGAAAATACCGGAACAGACCACCTAATAATGTAGAACGTAACAGAAACAATATTGAACCTATTAATATTAGAGCTGGATGGAATTGATATATCGATATTTCTTTATTTGAATATATCAAATAAACAGAATTCGATGAATATATCTAAGAAATAATTGATTTTTGTTTGTTTGTAGTACATAAACTCAAAACCTTGGAAGGAGCTCGATAGAGAAGTGGTTATCGCGGTCGGGCTACGTTACGATTGCTGAGCAACTTTTACAAGGGCCGACCATACGATGGGTGATCCAAAAATTATTATCTGGAGCTTCTCCATGTTTCAGAGGATACGTTAACTCTTAGTCAGTCGTTATCACCCTCCGATCCGCATTGCGCCTGCATGCAAGACCCATTTATTCTCCCTATTTCAATTCTGCTCAGTTCCATAGGGTAAGCTTGAGCCCCAACAGTGAAGACATTAATATCCTGGTGATGTTATTAAACTCAAAACCAACTAGTGTGTTTTAAAAAAAAAATCTTCTACCAAAACATAAATATTCATCGAATAAGAGGATCTATGTTTCATTTTGTAAAATATTTTTCATATTTGCACCTAAACTTGGATGAAACCGTGGTGCGCAACTAGTTAATTAATACTAATAAACTCTCTGGGATCGTCTCAATACATAAAAACTTGTAGAAACTGGGAAATGAAAACTTTCTTCTTGCTATTTAACTGCTTTTTTTGGTTAATTTGAATGCTTACTATTTATAACCAATCTTGTTTATGTTTTCTGACATATTCTAACATTACTTTTATCTTGAAGAACAGGAAAAGAAGATATTTGATATTTCTCACCAGTTAAATAATCACATAAGAAACAAAACCTACATGAAAAAAATAAATTTATGTGAAGATTTCCTAGTTATGCTTTTAACCGCCGGCATTAAAATTTCAGATGAAGATATGCTTTTCATATAAGATATGATTATCTACCTTAATTAAAGTTACTAATTTTTCAATTAGTATTTTTAAAAGATAATTTTCTTTTAGGTTTTTAGTGGTAAACCAAGCGTGAACTTATTAATATGTTTTCAAACAACTACTGATTTATTCCTTTATGGAATTTTTCATGAAATCCTTTAGGAATATTCTTTTAAGCAACAAAATTAAAAAGAAACCTCGATTCATTGAAAATCTCCTTATTTGACGTTGGTAAAAATAAATAAACAGTATACACACGGCTTTAAATCAAATGTTCTTCTCCGATAAATTTTCATTAAATGTTGTAAACAACGCGACACTCTAAGGCTACACTTTAATTGAGTGTGCACCATTAATTAGCAAGGGCATTTGTTAACGCTATGCAAACAATTTGCCCAGGAGTATAATTCAGAGAATTCCAAGAGTTTGTCCAATGTTGAGTATCATGAAGGAGACTATTTGATTATATATTAATAAATTCATAATTAAACATTGCTTATTGCGTTTGTTTATTTGGCAAGTTTAACTTTGTTTTGGTTAATTAACTACTATAAAATCTAAATGATAAAGAAACACAGTATGCGATAACCTAATTTACGCGAAATTTGCTGTTACTATACTCTATAAATATAAAGATCCTAATTCGAAGGGGGAGCCAAAGAATAGGCTTGTTATATTAAAATATTTTTCATTTCTTCGATGCTAATTTGAATTTAGCTTTTTAGTGTTAAACGACGTGTGAACTTTATTATAGGTTGACAAAAAAATACAAAATCATTTGAAAATCTACGCATCATAAGAAAAATATCATCGAGCTTGATGATTTAATTGATTCTATACGCCATTAAGGCTCCAGAATACTACCATTAAGGTCCGAAGCACATCTCGAGCACCTGTAACTATTAAAATTTTATAGTCGAAGTCGAAGTCGCGTAAAAACAGTTTATATTCCGTAAAATCTGTCCTCTTAAATACAGTTAACTATTGTTAACAAAATATTCCCGATGTCGTCACGAAATCGCATTACATGTAATAAATTTATTATAAAATCTTGATGAAAAATACTTCGACTGTTTATATCAAATATTACATTATCAATATGATAAATTCCGAGCACGCTTTAGATAGAAATAACATCCCGAGGGCAGAAAAATAGCAAAAGAGACTTGATATCTTCTTATTATGATGAGAGACATTTTCCTTTTTATAAAATCCCGTAGAAGGATTTCTTTCAACATTTCCCTAATTTTAAAAAGCGTCTAAGTAATGTACTAACTAAGTAAGTACACATGTTTATAATTATTCTTTAATTAAAATGAAAAATACACTTATTTGTAATTTTTTTTTTAATGAATGGTAATAATTCGATATCTGCTACGTATAACATTGTAACCATATTATAATACACAGCTGTACAATATTGTACGTAGAAAATATCGAAATACAAAATTAAAATATACCAGATAGAAAATAATAGTAACAAAAATATACACAACAATGGCATCATTAATTCTTATTGTTCACTCGAAATATAATTATGGAAGCAATATACTAAAATTTAGCTCATAAACTAGACTGAAATCCTTAAAATTCTTCCAGGGGCAAACATAACAAATATTACACGCAACATAACAAAAGTGTTAAATTAATAAGTTTAAATTAAAATTGTGAAAGGTCTAGTCGCGTCACGACTTACCAGACAGTTGAAAATTACTTGCCAAGTCAATTTACAGAACAACGCTACATAGTGGACCGTTGGTAATGGACGCACAGCAGGTTGCCACATTATTTAAACCTTGAAACTGGTCAACCCTTTTATTATTTGTCACAAACTTTTAAGTATGACTATGGTGAAGAGTATTACGAGTGTTCCACCGACAAGAGTTGCTCGTATGAGGGAGCGTAAAACCAAAAGACTGTCTGGCCATTGGACAAACGTAGATTAAAATTTTCATTAGTTTTAAGCGCAGTTGGCGAAGATGCAGTAATATCTTAAGATAAAATTTCGGTCGACAAATACGAACACACACGGCTGAGATAATTAATATTTTCACTTTAAGTATATTAAGATGCGAAGCTTTACAGATATATATATATATATATATATTTATAGAGCTTCAAAATATCATCGTACTTTAACCGTTAAAATTATATTAGGAGCTTAAAGCATGTTATTGATCCAAATTTTCATAGAACATTCGTAAGAGCTTGAAGTCGTCTTTAAAACTTAAAGGGCGTCTGTGCAACTGACCGTAAAGTGTTTAAAAATATCAATGGTTTAATACTTACTTACAGCCCGGACTGTTCGTGAAAACTTATTGAATAAGATTGTTGGGAGGTTTATTTAGAGTCACAGCCTGCTAATTTATGATTATATAGAACTTAAATAAATTTAAATCTGCTTTTTTCCAGAGAGGATCTACGATACGGAGGTTAAGCAACATTCGCAAGAGCCGCCATAAGATGGGTGACTAATCTATTGTCTCAATCTCGTCGTAAGTGAAATTCGTACAGTTAGTAAGATTATTCATCGCGTTCAGACAGACGCTAGTTAACTTTGTTTTGCAATACATAGAGCTCAAATAATATATTTACGAAACGAATTCTCTGTCTCGAAAACTAGAATTCCGCTGTATAATGGAGCACACAATACTCGCATTCGATCAAATGGTGCGCGATTGTATACTTCATTTCACACGTTCATTGACTTGATGCTTTCTGCCGAGCTCTGAACTAGCACGCTACATTGCTCTTGTTGTACTTTCACATAAGTAAAAGCAAATGAAATGATAATAATTAGAGATTGTTTTAGGCTTTTCTTGATACCTTTTCGGGAAAATAGAAAAATCTAATCTATATCACAGATAACGAAACACATTCTTTATGATGCAACGAAGGTAGTACCTGACTCTACATGGATATGATGTTAAGAAAATTATAAGAACAATTCGAATTTATCCGAATTTTCGTTAGAGGACTTATAGAATACGTCCTCAGGTGTCATGTTAATACGTATGAGTTATAATTGAAATAATAAATATTAGACTAAAGATGGCGACGGTTTCAAACCGGAATGCCGACTGCCGTGTCGAGTTCAATAATGTTGCATCGAGAAGAATCAAATCAAATCATGTTGTTGGTTATTAAAATTCAGCAAATGGTGCGAAGATATTTTGCGTGATTAAATCAAATGCGTATATATGGCCTAATACAATAACAATACAAACATTAACAGGGTATTCCAGTATCGTCGCATATCGGCTGTTACATCGCACACAAATTAGATGTTAATAATTAAAAAGTTTCGTGCGTATTGACGTGTTATCGTTCCTTCTTTATTTATGTCTATAGGAGTAATATAAGGAAAGTATACTTATTGCTTTCACTAAATACTGTACTATAATTTGAAAACGGATAATTAAAGATCTTTGGACATTCTGAACTTTTTTTAATAAGCCGTAATTTGAATATATCCATTACGACATCTCGGAAATATGACACTTTAAAGGAATAACAATTTACATCAATATCACAAAAGGTAAAGGTTTTCATTTTTTTTATTTGTAATAGATAATCTTCAGATATCCTGATCGGATAATGGAAATTCTTTCATCTACAGGGAGCTACACCATACGCTGATGTCATATGCTATAATCTACGTGGGCGAGGTGCAGGAAAACAGCTAGTAATTCATGTTTCTCTTGGTTATTCAATGGTTTAGGTAAGCTTAATGAAGGCTGGTGATTAAAAAAATAAAATTCATGGAATTATTCAACTTTTAGGCTCGACACAAAATATTCTAACCTCGTTTCCCGCTGAAAAGTACGAAAGAATTTATTTTAAAACCATTATATTTTGTACCATATATTTTTAGATATTTTTTTTTATTAAATCGTATTTTCTAGACTTTTATAAATTCATATTCTAGTCACATAAGACAATAACTATATGATGTAACTATACTAACTGTCTTCCCACGTCATTGCTGTAATCTGTATAATTCGATCAGTATTTCCGAATATTACGTCTATAAACAAACAAAGTTTACCATAAATAATATTTAACTTTAGCACTTCATAATATTTATGCAATATATACAAGTTAGCTTGACTATGGATCTAAAAAAAGCCAATGGCCTGAAGATAAAATTTGCTAACAGAAAATGATAATAATAATAATAAATACTCTTTTTGTACAAAAAAAGAAACTACATAGACACATAAATATTTACATGAGCCAGCGATTTCTTCCTTGCATTGGATAGAAAGAAAAAAAAACTTTAAATAGTGGATCGTGCATACAACAAATAACAAGTTAAATCGTACAAAACAAAACAGAAGAACAACAGTTATCACCGCGAACATCACTAAAAAAGTACATAAATTCAAACGAAATGCTCAAAACACAAGTGACAACTAGAGCGCGAGAAGTGAGAAAAGAAAATAGAAAGAAAGGCAGGCAAGCAGCAAACTTTTGACAGGAAATGGGATTTTAATTGTGATTTGTAGGAGTTTAAGGATTTCGTCCGTCTGATAGATTCAGGTAAAGAGTTCCACAATTTTATTGCATGTACTGAAAAAATTGGCAATATAATTGTCAAAATAAGTGACCTGATTATTAAAACACTTACCGTTTTCTATATTTATATATAATAAGAACGATGAACGCATTCCCAATGAATAGTGCCGCTATTAGTAGCGACGGAATCACAATATCTGTGAACAAAAGAAACAATTGATACATTAAAACACAAACATCACATACAAAGATGAAAAAAAAAGAATAATGAAGTTCCCGAAAAAGGAAATGTCTAAAGATGAACATTAAAGATGAAACCGACATTTTGCACGTAGTGATTGGCAAATGCAGTTGGTTATGTTTTTGTGTGCTAATAGAGTGCGAATTGGCTACTCAACTGTTTCAAAACTTTCATTTGATCATATTAAACTACTGGTAGATTTATTTTTCTCCAAAAAGTGGTATTGAATGAAGGAAATCAAATTTTTATTCATTAACTTAAATCATCGCGCTATAAAAAAATCAATCACGTGACAATTCGAGCCATGACGTCATAATTCAATAAACATGAGTACAAAGACGTTTATTGAAATGCGACGTCATACGATGCTCCGTCATAGACGCGCACGTTTTTGTTCTTGTAATCCACAGATTATAAATCACAAGTTAATTTGTCAAAAATAAAATATACTTACGATTTAATTTAAAATAAAAAATGCAATATTGCTTTATTGTTTACGTATAAGTTATCATTTCCAAAATATTTTATAACTGTTAAGTAGCACATTTTTGAACAGGTATATGCATGATGAAGAGTTTGTTCAGGCAGAAGTGGTATGCTTGTGATATAATACAATGTAACATTAGAGGTTCAAACAAATACTTCATTAGTAGACGTGAATAAAGCCAACAAGGACAGATAACGAAGCAAGCGATTGTTCACAGTCGACACAGCGAGTACGACCGCTTCGCCAACAGCATATTGATAAAAGCCGATAGGCACAGGAGTCACCACAAAGGTAACGAGAGAACGACAAAATTATGAGGTGAACCAATGAGGTGAATCGAGGAGGATTTGCGATTATTTTAAGATTACTAAATATCAGGTTTCAAATACAAAAGTGGCACATACAGTACGTCATCTTTAAATTTTATATGGACTGTTTAATTCTTCGTTTATATTTCACTATCTTTCGCCAGCAGCTTCGCCCGCGTGGACCCTAGGGAAATGTTTAGTGGGATAAAAATCCTATTATCTAATTCAGCTAACACCCTATCTGTATACCAAATTTCATCAAAATCCGTTTAGTTGTTTCGGCGTGATTAACCGACAAACATCCAAACAAAGAAACTTTCACATTTATAATATTAATAGGATTAGTAATCTTAGTTTACTATTTTATATATGTATTTGTTGTAATTAATATTCATGGTTATTAGTATAATATTATATACGGGATTGTTACCATGTACCTCATTTTCATCAAGATCCTCATATTTAGACGAGTTATTCCGTGATTGTGCTTATATAGCGCCGAAATAGACTCGATAATAAAAGTTAGGTGTACGGTAGCCATACAATAAATAACTATTATTTTTTATTAAACATCTGTTATTCAGAAAAGCATTTACTAGATCTTCAAAAGACACTTATGCTTAACGGATATTTGTAATTAAATTTCCCGTGCTACCTTACACTTGATATTACTATCTTGACATTATTCTTATCAATATAAATCTGACTTCTAACATACTATGATTTATTATGAATTATACATGCCTTTTTATTTTATTATTATTATATTTTTTATTTCCCGATATATTTTTTATCGTACCATTTTTATCTCTATTTATATTAATTTTTGACAATATATCTTCCTTATAGTATTCATTCGATTCATTAAAAAAAAATATTTTGTCCCCGCTCATCTCATTCAGGGTGATGGCTGGAAATCGGTGCTTCATCTGCATTAGGTGATTTAAGTGCACCGAGCCTAGAACTGCTGCACACAGGTATGTTTCTGCTTCTTGTTCTTCTTTGTTTCTTTTATCGTGTCAAAATTTAGTAAGTGATGTTATTGTGTGTTGCTGAGAAATAAACTTTTTATCTATCTACAAAGATGACATTATTGCATCTTTAATGCCACTTAAAATATAAATGGCAATTGTCTATTGAAATGTTGGCTCATTAGTTCTTCGTCAACTGGAACCATAAATGGCGAAATGGCGAGAGCCGCAACAAGTTAACAGAGGAACTGAAAGCCTTAACTTTCAGCGGTGAGTATTATATATTGTCACAGTTCGTTCTACATTGAATAGTGCGAGTAGAAGTTTCAGATTAGTTATAGTTCCATTTATAACAGTTCTTTGGAACTATTATAAATTTGATATCGAGTAAGAGCATATCTTAATGCACTTTTATTATATACTACTAGATGACACGGCAAACGCCATTCTGTAATAAAAACAACCTCAAATTCGTCGTCGAATACAGCATACATGTTCAATTAAATAAAACTCGCTTCAAAAGGTATTAAAGGTTTTATTTCATTGACGCTCTATGACTCGACAGCGCTGCATTCCAAGACAATTTCGAAGATGTCTTTTAATAGCAATTTGTATATGAAAACAAAATAATTTATATTCATCATTTTAATGTACTTCAATATAAATATTAGGCATCGGAAATCATAGGGAACAATCATTTTATATACAAATAATTTGTCCCCAAAATCATTTTCAGTTTCAAGATAACTGCAATTAATTGTAAACGTTATAAACTGTATAAGAGCAGTTATATTATTATACTGCCAAGATGTGTCGGTCATCATTGGAAACCCAAAATTAGTCGGTACCCATTTTATTGATCTCGAAATACTCTACAATCAATTTTAATACTTTATCGAACTTCTCGAAAGCTTTTCTTGAACTTCATCACTTTAGAAAAATAGCAATTACTGACCGACTATCATGTCTGGTTGCTCGTGGGGCGGCAGTTTTACTTCCTCGTCCCTGGTCACCGGCGCCGAATCGTTCCAGACGGTCTTCACCGCCTCCGCTGCAAACAAATCATCATAATAAGCTAACTTCAAAAACAGTGCAATCATAATACTGACACTCTCCCTTTACGGGATTTACGGGATGCAAATCTAATGGAAAATCCGGGAAGCGTCTTCCGTAAGAATGAGTTAGTATACGACAGATCTTCCATGGAGTATGCATACTATTAAATGTCACGTATCGTTGGGAAATAATAGTGAAATACCACGTAAATAACACTGACAATTAAGAGCTAATTTTAAGTGAGATAGTGTTACAATTCACTTAAAATAAACCCTTTATTGCATACGCGATATTGTACATCCGATTAATTTGTCAGTTCTGGCGTTCCGTGACCGACTAAATGCGACATATTGTCATGGACAAAGTGATTAATCGGACATTATAAATAATGCCCACGCAGTATGGAATATGCCTAACATGAGAGGGCAATTTAATAAAAACAATGGAAATAATTAAATTACCCGGGCGTTATTTATAATGTTCAACACCTATCGTGCAGAACGACTGAAAAGAAGCTTTATTATGGACAAATTTGATTTCATAAGTATTATCAGTGGGCTAAATGTTTAATTTAAAATATATCGCAATGAGTCAGCAAAATAGTTTCACGTAATTTATTGACTTGCTTTCGAATATTTCCCAATAACATATCTCTTCCGTAGAAACAATTGCTTGTCTTCCCTTCTCCGCACTTCATCAAATAGAAAGTGATTGAGAAATATTTTAATACGCCCCCTTTTTTCACCTGCAGTGCTATTCTGTATTAAAGCAAACTCGAACTCGATATCAAGCATAACACTACCATACATGGAAGTTCAATCAAATAAAACCTACTTCAGGGGTTATAATTTAATTCTTATTTCATTGAACTTCCATGCTGTAACAGCACTATGCTCGATGGCAAAGATTATATTAAACATCGAGTCCGATGCTGATTTTCCCACGACTTCGCTCGCTTAGGTTATAGTCTATGTCACCAATAATCGGGTAGTTTCGGATCTTATACGATGCAAACAAACAATGAAATTTTTCCTCTTTATAATATTATAGTATAGAATAGCATAATTGAAAACGTGATGTGTTTTTTAATACTACTACAGGCCTAAGCAGGTAGATTAAAGTATTATATTGAAGGATAGGCAATTCAGCTGTACATTGATAAAGAATGTTGGAACGGGAAAATGCTTTTATCAATTCTACCCCGAACTCTGAAATCCCTTCTTTTCAATACATCTTTTACGATAGTAATTAAGAAAACGAATCTTTCTCCTGAAGAAATATACCTGTTTGTGATCCAAGGTAATGAAAGCGATTCAAAGATTGCATTAATACAAAAAAATACGATGACACTTCAAATCCAATAATTCATTTTCTCTCTTTATATATGTACTTATTTCTTTATGAAAAAAAAATGAAAATGAAAAAAAAACTCTATTCAAGTAGGCTACTAGAAGCACTTTTGAATCGTCCAAAAAAAATTTTTTCCCCTACCACGTTCAGGACGTCATTTAGCTGACAGAAGAACAAGCGAAAGAAACTTACCAGCTTTTTATCATAAGTAATGACATTTACATAAATCATGTCATTACCAAAATAATATGTGAGTGATTATCACAATAATAAATACAACTTTCAAAGTCTGTAGGACATAGGTTGAACATATAATTAGAACAAAGCGAAGGCTATTAATTCCATTCATTGCGATCCTTAAAATAATCATCAACTTTATAATAGCCTTTACTCATAAGTATATTCTTTACATGAATTTGAAATTTATTTATGGGTAGGTCGATTACATTTTATTGAACTTTATTGATCATAGCAATACATTTACCCAGAAATGATCCTCTGGTTTTTTGAAGTCTGAAGCTTGGAACGGCAAGTTTATTTTTATTTCTTGTGTTAAGATTATGAACACTACTTTTTTTGTGAAGGAATCGTAATGTTTTCTTGTGTACATAATATTCTCATAGATGTATTGAGAGGTAACAGTCAGAATATTTATTTCTTTAAATATTTTTCTGAGAGATTCCCTAGGCCGTAAATTATATATAGCACGGACAGCTCTCTTTTGTAGAATAAAAATATCCTGAATCCTAGCCGCAGAACCCTACAACAATATACCATACGTCATTACACTATGAAAATAACTAAAATATACCAATCTTGCCGTTTCAACATTTGTCAAGACTAATTTTCTTAACAGCAAAAGCTGCAGAACTCAGTCTACTTGACAAGCTATCAATATGAGGATACTTCTTTACACTCTTCATATACTTATTTAGGGCACTTAAATATCTCAGAAAATTTAACATCATGAGCGAGATTGTGACTCAATGTACATATAGATATAATTAATAAATATATTTAAATTAATTGTAAATTGGGACAATATTAACTTATTTATGAAGCAGTGATATATGAAATAGATTCGCTTAGCGAAATTGCAGCATGAGGCGTGGGCCAGACTTAATAGGGGTGATGGCTGGGTAAAAAAAGAAATTTTATTTAGTCTAACAGTCAGATAATAAAAAAATATTAAAATCTTTTTTTTTACCTCAATTTAACACGCTCATATAATAGGCATTAAAGTTGAGGAGTGGCCTACGTGACAAAGTCGTGCGACATTTTAACTCAACGTATCGCCGTTATTAATTGGTTATATTATATTTGTCGCAAAATATCTCCATCACCTTTACGAAGGTAGTTTGATTTAGTTTTTTTTTATTGTTGGTTACTCGATTGTAGAGAGGGCGTGATCATCGATACTTTTAATTTTATTAGAACGATAACACTGACTTTTGACAGTTTGTTTAAGTAAAGTAAGTTGCCGCCATTTTGGCAGACATTCTGTTTCCGATCGCCGAGGAGTAAAGACATCCGACGACATCACGCTCATCTCGTTATATTTTCGTACGAAAAAGTTAAAATGGAATAAATCCATATTGGTATACACGCCTGCAATGTTATTTTTGAGATATCTCCCGATATAGACGATCAATTTGGGCTTCGTAATAGCCCCTTCTGATTACCCGCCGTCATATTTATATTGATTATATAAATATGATATAATATAATCAATATTATATTTATAATATTATATTGATGACATTTATAACGTGTTTAGTATTCTCGGACAGATTAAAATATCCGATGGACAGACAAAGATTAGTCATCAACCCTATTGCGGCTTAAGAAAAATCCGAACTTTTTCACTGATTAAAAGTACATTACCGGTTAGTATAATCCCAATCCAATAAAGTCGTACTTTTGTAGACATTTCAATGTGAAATTCATCAAATATTCGTCTCTTCACATAATTAATGCATGTTATTTTAAAAAGGCTTTGTTTTAATAATTATGTTCAGCAAATTCCCAGATGCTTAAGTGCGTTAAGCTATATTATCTAAGAGAGCTCTCAGAACTTATTTTCGCATCTTGATAACTTTCTTGAACTTTGAATTATAATGACCCCATATAAGTTGGAACCTTCTTAGGAATGTATGTGTTGTTTAAACATTAAATCGTGAGATGGCTGTCGTTAAGTCATATTAGCAAGCAAAGCTGTAAATCCTAGTTTATCTCTGACGTCAACATTAAAGTTTAATTCCGCATTATATAGGTATATTTGTTTTCATCGAGCGCCTAACCTAATTTTTTCCGGCTAATTGTGCGTAACAATAGCACTGCAAACGGGGGTAGCGTTGGTAGAGAAGAGCGCGGTAATGCAAACTATGCTTTATAGAGCAGTGAGGATTATACCCTTCATGCATTCAATCTTACCTTCTTTTTTCTGTGCAGTTCCCTTTTCAATGACTCATTATCTACCTTTATTAAACCACTGACCTTTGAATTTATAATACGGATTGGAGTATATGGACAAATGATAAATTAGGGCATTATGAATAATGACAAGTTACTTAGGGTAAAATATATAATTGTAATTTTATATTCGTTATTTATCACATTGCCTTGGCATTATGTATGCTATGAGGTGTTGGGGCAATCTGATAAAATGCATTTACTTATGTATTGATTATGTTTATTGATCATCCGTTTCATCATCTTTCATTATAAAAGCGATTGCTGCTTAAAAAGCTATATAATTCCATTAATCATAATAACTATACACTTGAAAAGGATTGAGATAAATTTTGAAACTGTTAATAACACCATAGATTTTCTTCGTCTATTTACACATTTATAATCTGTCTTGATATTTGATTTCATATTTACATACATTCATTCATATCCCTTGTGGATAGAGCAAAGCTTTAGGTAGGAACAAACGAGTTACACCACAAGCCACATTTGACACATTTTGTCCCGAATATTTTGACTTATTAATACATTCTGGCGTCACCACACATTATAAATTAAAGGCGGCCTTCACCTCTGTCAGTCCTTTTTAACTCCTAAACCAAGTAATTTTACAGACAGATAGAAAAAAATATGAGATAGTTTATCACACATGTTTATAACTGTGCTATATACTCTTGCGTTCGCGGAATATTCAAAGGTCAAAAGGGTTAAAAGGTACAAAAATTAATTTATAAATTACAGTTAATTTTTGCACATTATTAAGTTTATTTAAATGAAAAAAGGTCCTGAACGAGTGGTAGGGAAAAAATGTCGGGCGATTCTAAAGTACTAGGTATGAGTTTTTTTGAATAAAGATATTTTTACTTTGAGTTTGTTTAACTGTTTCACATTGTATTTGTATTTTATATAATTTATTATATTAGAAATAAAAATATTTCAATCTTTCAACAGTTTTATAAAAGGAAAAGAGGAATATAGAACATTCGGTTCTATAGAAGTGCGTTACTCATTGAAGATCTTGTGACACAGTGATTAAACGTTTGGCCTGCGATACGAAAGTTAGGCAACTTTCGTAAAGGCCGGTCGTAAGATGGGTGACCGCAAATTAAGTTAAATCATTTGCTAAAAAGCTAAAGCACTTGTGTTATGGAAATCTGAAACAACGAAGATACCACAATATCCAGACTCGAGAAAAAAGTTCATTTTCTACACTAACCCATCTAGACATCTCGAAATCTGCGTACGAGCCACTCGACCACGTCGTCACATACGCTACTAACTTCAATAACCAAAATATACGTTACGCGTTACTACATTTAGCTCATA